TCAGCAGATGCACAGTTGAATTAGGGCGCGGGGCAAGAGGTGGAGGGGCCACTGGGGATGAAGCTGCCACACCTGATCCCCAGAGGGGAAGGCCATGGAAGGCCTGGGAGCTAGGCTGGGCCAGATGCGATCTCTCCTCTCAGAAAATCATGGGACTGGGGACAGATCGGGGGACGGGAGAGGTGGTCAGGAGGCAGCAGAGGCGGGGCAGAGGGTGACAGGCTGTGAGTGTGACTGGGTGCTGGCTTGGGTGCGAGGCTGCCAGGAAAGGTCTGAGAGGTGGGGGTGGTGTCAGAGGATCTGGGGCGGGCCTGCGGGGATGGGGGCGGGGCTGCTGAGCAGGAGTGAGCTCGCTGCAATGGAGTGGAGATACCTCCTGGGACACCATGTGGCAGGCGGGAGGTGTCAGGCCAGGAGACTGCAGCAGAAAGGGAGGGTGAGATCACAAGAGGGGCAGTGAGGCCCCTCCTCTAGCAGAAATGGGGGACCCAGAGGAGGGGGGAGGGGCCCCCCACTAGCCTCCACATCCACATCCCCCTCGAGTCCCCATTGGACTGTGACTTCAGGCAGCCAGGCTGGCTACTGTCCTGACCTCCCAGGGGCTGCTGTGGCGCTCCCGCACCAGTCACCATGACTGTTACCTGGGATAACGTGAGCTGTGCCCCTGGCACTCTGGCCTGGCAAGCCCTGGGCATTCAATAAGCAGTGGCTGTTGCTATTAGGCACGATAGGGCCAGGACTGGATCCCGGCACTAGGTCTGGCTGAGTCAAGGAGCCCAGCGATTCCCGCGCCTTAGGGATGGAGCAGCTGACAGCTGCCCCCCTCTGGGGGTACCATAGCCCCTCAAAGACAGGGCCAGGGATGTGAGTGCTGTTTCTGGTGACCTGGATGTGCAGAGTGGTCCCACTGTGGGCTCCAGGGCTAGGGAGCTTCCCGTGTGCCATGTCCCAGCTGCCCCTCCTGCCCCAGACTGCCACACCAGTGTCCTCTCCTGTGAGGTGGACTGAGACCCCCGTGGCTCCAGGCACTCATGTCCTGGCCCTGGGCAGGTGGCCCCTGAGTGGCTTGCAGGCTCTCCCACCAGAAGCAGAGACAGCCCATCCCCCCAAAGCCAAATTCTGTAGCTAGAGTCACCCTGAAGAGAAGTCCCACATGCATTCTGCTAGGGCAGGAAGGTCTCCAGGCCCGGTTCTGGCTCTGGTGCCCAGCCCTGCTAGAGATGTCTCAGAGCCTCAGTTTCCCCATTTTGCTGGCTCCGAGATCTCACCTACCAGGCGTTGGGTTCAGTCACTGGAGCCCCAGCCCCCACCCATCTCTGTTTCCTGCTGGGAGGAAGCAGGCATGGTCTGATGCAGTCTGGAGCCTTCCTCCCATCTCAGCCTCCTGAGAGGGGAGAGAGATGGGGCAGCTCCCAGGAGGAGCAGGGCTTGACCCTGCACCAGCTGGGTTTGCCTATGGCTGGTGGGCCTATTAACTAGGCCATTGCTGGGCCCAGCCTTGGAGGCTGGCACTGACCAGCTTGGGTGTGGGTGGAGGCAAAGGCTGGGCTTTGAACTAACCGCAGAAAGCTCCCGAGATATCAAAGCACTTTTAGAGACCAAGCACAAGGGGGGGTACTGGCGAGAGCCTGCTCCCATCAGTAGAGGATCGAAAAGCATTTGGTCAAAGAGCCTTTAAATACTTGAAAGGCAGGTGACAGAGGGGTTTGAGCCTTGTGCGGAGCTCACAGAGGGGATGCGGAGGTGGGAGAGGGGGACGGTGGGGACATGGCTGGCCCAGAGCTCGGGAGTGGATGATAGGTGGGAGGGAATGGGAACTGGCTGAAGGGGCCAGGCTGTCTCTGGGAGCTGTAGGAACATGCGTGACAACAGGCCAAGTGTCACTGCTGAATTTGTGCATCTAGGAGGTAAGATCACAGAAGTGCAGGAGATCTTCAACAACACCCTGTGGTTCAGACTGGTAAACCAAGGCCCCAGAGGATTTGAGGGCCTTAGCTCAGGTCCTTGAGCGGGACTGGCCAGCTCAGGAGCATTCACGGGCTCTGGCCAGCCTCAGGGGGTCCTGGAGTTACCCCAGAGCAGAGGCTTGGTCCAACCAAGAACTGGGGCTCTGGAGCAGGGCCTAGCAGAAGGATAACATGCACAGCCCAGAGGCCATGGTGGTGGCAGCCCCTGGGTCGGCTGAAAGGCAGCAGTTCATCGGCAAGGTCCGATTCTGTCCCAGTGTGAAGGGCACACAGGGGACCTCAGCATTCTCTAGGCTGTCACCCTTTCTAGGTTTCAGCCTCTCTGGAGTAGGACAAAGACAGCATGGTGGGTGTAGGGACTTGCTCTGCCCCCAACTGGTCTCGCACTGCCCCCAGTACATGCAAACGAAGCACCCACCTGGGTCTGCTTCTACAGTGATGGCAGCAAGGAGTGAGGTGTGTTTGTTCTGCCACATGAGCGGCACAAACAGCTTCCTCAGCATTTTTATTAATAATTCATCCTCTAGCCTGGGAGGTGGGGACAAGGGGACAGGAACTGCGGGGACAGCAGCTGTGGAGACTACACCAGGCAGAGGCTGAGGCAGGGGCCCTGCCTCCTCCTGTGGCCTAGCAACCCAGCTGGCGTCCTGGGCCCTGCCAGGGAGTTGGGTCCAGGGTGAGACACAGCATGCCTCCCAGAGGCCAGCCTAGGATACCCAGCTCCTCTGAGCACCAGGTTGGAAACAGGCCTGAAGGGCCACCACGGACGGCAGGCGCCCCTGGGGACCGCAGGCTTCCTGCTGCATCACGGAGGCCAACAGCAGCATGGAATGAGGACACTGCCAGGGCCTGTCCCTCTCTGGGGGCTGCAGCGCACCCCAGAGGCCCTGCCCCCATGGGGTCCCTAGTTCCTGAGACTTCTCAGGTGGCACTCGGGATTCTTCTGCAGGAGGTGGCTCTCACGTACAGCACACAGCCAGACATCTGGAAGGACTCACTTGACAGGCGTGGGGAAGTGGGAGGAGACTGTGTGGTAAACAACAACCAAAAAGACCTCCACATCCATCAGGCCTAAACCCTGCACTCCAAGTAGTGTACTAAGTGCTTGATTGTCTCACTGTGGAATCTTACGAGAGCCTAAGGAAGTAAGTGTTGTTATTCCCATCGAAACAGGGAGGAAGCCCAGGCCCAGTGTCAACAGCCTCAGCCTCGGCAGGCGCCCTGATCGGTGTTCTTGCCTCTTCCCAATGTTCCTGCATTGTCTAAACTAAGTGATGCAGGCCCAGAGAAAGGCCTCCATGTCCTCCTGAAGTAGACCACAGACAAGGAGCCACCCAAGGTCCCCAGGGCCCTGAGCCTCAGTTTGCACCATGCCTTCTCCTGGGGCTCATCTCGTCCATTCAGAGACTAGTGGCTCTGCCATTCAGAAACCAGAGTTGTCCAGTGCCCGCTGGGAGTAAGTGTGACTGCTATCTTTGCTCTGGGGACAGAAGCTTTCAGTGGGAGTGGGCACTGGGCCTGCACAGGGATGGCACAGCATTGGTGATGGGCTGGACAGAGAGCCCCCTGAGTCCTCGCCCAGCTCCCTGGGCTGTTAGCTCCCAGGTTAGCTCCTCCCTCTCCAGGCCTTGCCTTCACCATCTGCCACCCAAAGAGGTGGCCCAGTCACTGCTCACTTGTCCTCTCCATGGATCCTGGGATGCTGGGTGATCCCAAATGCTCTGCAGAGACTGTTGAGGGGAGCAAGGAGGGATTCTGCTATCTCCCCAGGGCTCAGCTGGATGGCACAGATCTGAGCGGGGAGACCCCCAAGTGGTCAGGGAACCTCTCTGTGTGCCGCTGGTGGCTGGGGTGGAACTAGGGTGCAGAGGTGCTCCTTGGGGAGTGGAGCGATAGGAGAAGTGGTTTGGGGAGGGAGGGAGAAAGGCCACAGATGGCAACCATGGGCCCCAGCCACTGGCTGGGTTTTGTGGGTCCAGGGTTGGGCAGCTGCAGTGTGTGCAGAGCAGAAAGGGCCCTGACAGCGGGGTGAGGGCTGTGGTTTCTGGCCACTGGGGAATTGCAGGCCTTTTTTCCTTCGTTTTTAATTAGAACATTCAACCTTAGGAAATCTGTTCTCCACCGGAACAGTCTACAAGGTTTGCTGGGGAATTTCCTTATCTGTTTCTCCACCGGAAAGCGGTGGGTGGAGGTGAATGTGTGTGTGTGTGTGTGTGTGTGTGTGTGTGTGCACGCGCATGTGTGTGTGCTGAGGTGGTGCTGTGTTGGCTCCAGAGGTAAGGTCTGTATGTGTACGTTTCAGGGGGCCCTGGGGACAGCTTTGTTCCCATGGCACAGCCTCCTGCTGCTCATAGGGAAGGTGGCAGCATGGCTGGGTGTGAGCTGTGCGCTGCAAAGCTGACTGCATGGCCTGGGTGGAGGTGGGAACCCTCACCTTCACCTGCAGGGACAGCAGGACCTGGGGTCAATGCAGTGTGGGGACAGGCCCTGGCCTGGGGGTGTCTCTCTGTGTGTGCGGTGATTAGGTGACACCATCCAGGTTCCCTTCAGGCCTTCCAAGTCCTCCGAGACTGCCCGCCAGTCCTGAGCCACTCCCCCGAAAACCAAACGCTCCATTTCGGTGGAGAGCAAGCAGTGCACCTGAAGCGCGCTGCGCGGTGCGGCAAGGGGCCAAGGGGGCCCGGGAGGAGGGCTTGCCTGCTTGCCTCAGTGTGCCAGGTGCTGGGTCAAGGACAAGAGGGGAGGACAGAAGGGCGCTGCAGCGGGGCTGCAAGGCTGGAGCTCCAGGGCTGGCTAAGCGGGGAGCGCCACCCGATCCAGGCCCTCTTCCAAGGCAGGGACCCCAGCTCTTTCCTTTCCCTGCCTGTGCTTGAACTCTGACAGTAACCAGGTGGCAGACCCAGGCCCAGCGCTGGCACAACTCTGCTCCTGTTTTTTACACTCGCCAGCCCGTCTCCCAGGGTCTTCGCGGCTTGTAGTCTGGAGCTGACGCCCTCGAGAGGCTGCTGGGAGCAAAGTGCGGGCTGGATCGACATGGAGTTCGGAGCGGAGCGGCTGGCCCGGGAGGAGGTGGGCAGGGCGTGCAGCCGGGTGCACCGGCCCGGCTGGCGGCGGGAGGAGACAGGCGGCTGGGCGCGGGCGGAGCGCCGGGCGGTGGCCGGCAGGGGGCGCACCCGCCTCTACATCCCGCGATCTCTCTCGCGCTCTCTCTCGCGCTCTCTTTCTCTGTCTCTCTGTCTCTCTCTGTTTCTCTCTGTCTCTCTCTCACACACACACACACACACACACACACACACACGCGCGCGCGCGCGGCCACACGCGCGCACACACACACACGCACGCACGCAGGCGGCACACGCGCCCGCACTCCCCGCGCCCGCCCGGCGCGCACTCGCGGCCGCAGGCAGG